GGAATTTCAATTCCTTAATAATTTCTGTCACTGCATGGCTGTGTCTAAATATTTAGGCAGATTGTACAGAGTGGATTTGTCTGTTTGATGTGTTACATATATTTATGTATCCTGATTGTCAGTCAGTGAGGAAACCATGCCACAGAAAGCAGATGTGATCTGAAAGTTGCCAAATGTGGTGCTCACTTTTCCCAGCATGCCCTGTGCCTCTCAAAGGCAGGATTCTGCCTTTAGACCACAGACTCCTGGACCCCCTGACAGGAGCTTTCCATAATCATTTGTTTGTGAAATCTTAGGCATATCTATGACTTCAATTATCTTCTTAAACTCTGGTTAGATTCTCGATTCTATATTCTTGGCCTTAACCTCTTCCCTAAGTTATAGAGCTTTAGTTCCAATTACCCATTGGACACCTGTAATTAGAAGCATCCACACTTGTATATTCAAAATTAAATGGATTTCTGGCTAAAACGGTGCCCCCTAAATTTCTTATCTTGGTTAATGCTGCTACAACTTAACTTCTAACAAAACTGTACAAATCAAAGTTTTCTTGAATCCTTCTTCACCATCCACTTTCAATTAATCTCCCTAGTCATCCAGATTCCACATTTTCAGTTATCTTCTATATCTGTCTCCTCCTTCCCAGACCAATTTCTACACACTTAGTTCAGTCTCTCATAATTCCCTGCCTGAACATTGTAATAGTTAATGGGTGTTTTTCCAATGAGCCTAATTGGTCTCTTTCTTTCTGATCCATTCTCTATACTCTCCCTATACTTAACCTTTCTGGGATTAATTTCATATAAAGCCTTTGCACAATCTAACCCTAATCCATTTTGCCAGCATCATCTCCCATTGCACAACTCCATTTTCTCTTTCTCTTAATGCCTTTTCCATTCAGTCAGAAATTCTTTCCGGTTAAGGGAAGTTGGATCCCACATGGCATCCGAAGTTTGAATTCTGGCCTCAGTGGCTTAAAAAACACTCCAGGCATAGGTGTGTGCGTGCCCCAAATCCCAAAACAGAGGAGAAGGGATTGCAGCATGATCATGCCCAACTGGAGGGTGCTTTCTTCTTCTCTGTCTCTCTCTGGTTAGGGCACTCAACCTCTGGCAATTAAATAAAAAATAAATACTTCCCGATTTCCTTATGAAATATAACTAATAGCTGCTCCTGTTGTGCTGTTCCCTTCTACCAAGATATTGGTATTCCACCAAGATGGTTCCAAGTCCTATCATTCTTTGCCTGTGCTGTTGCAATCATCTGAGACTGCAGCTGATCTCGTCTTCAGTCTACCTTCATGGTTTTTTCATATATACTTTCGTAAAATAATAACATACTTATTATTATTTTATATTCTAAATACATGGCACAGTGAGCTGTGTCCTTTTTCTCTCTTCTTCTCTCATCCCTCCCTCTTACTCATTATTTTCAAAATTTCCTTCTATTTACAGACCATTATTCTATTTATATGCTTAAGATCTTAAAATATTACTGGGACCAGCAGATGGTGTATTGGTTACATTGCTGGACTCTCATGTAGTCGATCATGGTTCAAGTCTTCTACCAAGAGGCTTAAACTCATGCTGGGTATATGTACGTGCGTGCCCAAGATCCCAAGAGGAGAATGGAGGAGAAGGGATTGTGGCGTGGCCATCCCCCCTGGGGGATGATTTCTCACTTTGTGTCTGGGTAGCTTTAAGTCCTCTAAATTTTTCTAGAACTATTTTTTAAATTGCTATAGGGTGCATGCACAGGAGCTTGGACTCAAACCATGGTCAGTCCTGTGGTATCCAGCTCCCGTAAGCACTAGGCTATGGGAAATAATTGATACGACAGAAATGATCCATTTTCTGATAGTTGAGTACATTTTGCTATGTTAAGTAGTTCTTGGTGACTATTTTAATTTATAATAGTTTATTCAATTTTTCTATTTCATTTTGCCTCAATATTTTTGCCTGAAGATACCCCTCTATTTCATTTATGTTATCAAGTTTATTATCATGCATTTCTTAATAATACTTTTTCATACTATCCATTTTGTGACTTTAGTTCATTTTTTAATTTTTATTCTGCATTTTGTTTGTATCTTATCACTTTTATCCCTTATTCTTGCTAAAAGTTTATCTTCTGAAATTTTTTGAAGAAAATAAACTTGACATTGTTTTTCTTTTTCACTGTCTTTAACTTTTTGAGTTAATAACTTGATTCATTAGTTTTTGGTCAAGAAGTATTTTAAAAAGTGTCTCATGCATGTTAATATCCCTGTGGATATTTTTACGTAAAAATATCTTTATTGAATCCTCACATTTAAATGCAACAGTTTAGTTTTAGCTTAGAAGTACTCTTATTTTTACCTCTCAAAAATAACATTCCATTGATATCTTGATTTCAATGTCATAATTGAGAAATCTGGTGTCAAACTTATTCATTTTACTTTGTAATCATATATTCTTTTTCTGCATGATTTTAGAATTGTCCTTTGGAGTTTGAAGCTATTGCAATATACTGTCTAGCCTAGATGACACCCTTTTTTAAAAAAATAATTATTTATTTAATTGTATTTATTATTATTATCATTATTCTTCAATTTGACCAGACAGAGACAGAGAGAGAGAGAGAGTGAGAAAGCAAGCTGCCAGGTCCAGGATTAGAACAGTAGTTGGCTATATGGGAGTCCAGCGCTTTAACTGCCATGCCACCTGCTAGTCCCAAAGTTCCTTTTTTTTCTTGTCTTTTTTTGTATCCTTTTGGCATCACACTAATCAAAAACATTTTTAATTTCAATAAGAAAGCTTTTATTCTCATAATTTTAATCTGAATTTACTCATTCATTATTTCTAATACCAATTGTCTATTTCTATTTCTTAATACATAATAAATTACCCCAAAACTTAGTGGCTGCAGAGAATCTCACGCTTTTGCGAGCTGGCTGAGCAGTTCTATTGTTTTATCTGAGTGTACTCAGGGGGCTGCTTTCAGAGAATTCAGGGGGCTGGATTCATCTGAACAGCTGGAACAGCTAGGTCTGAACAAGTTTCAATTATTCATTTGCATATTTCGACCTGGTTGGAAACTTGGGCATAAATTATTTCTTTATAAAAGCTCATTCCTGAACACATTTGAGGAGATGGTCTTTTTGGCAAACTTAATTGTCTCCCAGATGCCATCACCCATAAGAATGCCTTCCTTCTTGACAAACCCCGTAGGCCAGAGTTTGACTTTCTCACAGTGAGCAACTGTTCCTGGTCTGTACTTAGCTTCAGTCAGTAACAAAAGCATAACAAATGTACTTAAAGTTGTTCATGACACAGGGGACTCCTTTAGGAGTGAAGGACCCAAAGACCAGGGGAAACTGTTTTTATGCTTGATGAAGAATGGGCAGCCAGGGGGAACCAGCAGTTAGCATAATGGCTATGTCGCTGGACTCCCACGTAGTCAACCACGGTTCGTGTCCCGGACCCGGTGGCTTAAAACTCACGCCGGGCGCGTGTGCGTGCGTGCCCAAGATCCCGAGAGGAGAATGGAGGAGAAGGGATTGCGGCGTGACCATCCCCCCTGGGGGGTGATTTCTCGCTTTCTGTCTCTATGTCTCTCTCTGTCTGTCTGGCGAGCGCACGCGCCCTACAGTGAAAATCTCTCCAAAAAAAAAGAATGGGCAGCCATGCAGAAACTGGACATAAAGGTATAATCTAGTGGCAACAAACCGAGGGGGAAAACTCACCAAGGTCTGTCTGTTTAGATTCTTCTTGGAGTCTTCATATGGCATTTCTTCCTCTTGGGCAGAATCTCCAAAGGATTCTGGAAAGAGAGTTTTCAAAGAAGAAGGGAAAAGGGAGAGGATTTGTTTTTTAGTTTTACAACTTGCTTATGGGGATGGGGGTCTCATTTCTATGACTCACCTTGCAGAAGAGGAATTCTAGTTTCTATGAATCACCTTTGTTTTGTTTTGTTTTGTTTTTTTAATCAGGAAAATAAGATATTAAATTTATTGGCAGTAGGAGTTTTTCTTTTCTTTTCTTTTTTTTTTTTTTTTCCATCCAGAGTACACTGTAGAAAGATGCATGAGAACAGGAGAGCAGGACGAGGTCAAAGAGACTTTACCTTTCAGGGTGCTTCTGAGGCCTTCCAATTGTCTTCGGTTCAAACTATTCAACATGCCCAAGCATCGTACGCTGGGGTAGCATGTTCTGAGTCCCAGCATTTGTTCCTCTATCTTAGTTGCTGTGTCTCTTTTTATTGAGAGAAGCTAGTGAGATGGAGAAATCACACCATCTGAATACAAGTCATTATACATTCGTCTAGATCCATAGAAAGCACAACATAAGGAGTTGACCCTAATATAAACTGTGGGCTTTGGTAATAATGAAATGTCAATGCAAGTTCATTGATTATGACAAATGTACTATCTGATGGAGGATGTTGATGAAGAGGGAGGCGGACATGTGTGGGGAGAGAGGGTGTGTGGAAAATCAGCTAAATTCCCTGAGGTCCTCCATTATGTGTCCCTTATGCAGTCTTGTTCCTTACCTCCCACACAGCCTTCTTTCTCTTGGAGAACAGCTGATACTACTTTGCTCAAAATGTTTCCCTCCCCCAGAACACCCTCCAGCCTTCTCTTCCAACTATCCCAATCTTTACCATTCACCGGGGACCAGCCCAAAACTTCCCTTCTCCAAGACATCCCCTTCCTTACCTCTCTTCCAGTCAACATCTGATCACTGGAAACAGTTATTAGGTTGTTGGGAAGGTCATGATATATTTGCCCATGTTTTTGTATGCAACAATGCGTCATGACTTTCCCAACAGCCTAATACATTTATTGAACACTTGTAGAAGCTAGAGAAACTTTCCTTCCCCCTCTGAAGTTTCAATAATTAAGTCTACTGAAATAAATTTACAACAGGCTAACAGGAGAAAAAGTATACAAATTTATTAATGTGCAAGCACATGAGAGTCACAGAAAGTATGAAACTCAAAGAAATCCAGATGGTGGAAGTTCAAATACCTTCTTCATAGAGGAGAGGGAAATAGGTAATGTAGACAATTTTAGAGGGGCAGTAAATGATCTTTAGGGGGCATTAATGAACAGGAAGAACAAACAGTGGCCTGGGACAAAGGGAGTCTATGCTCTCGTGGTGATATTTGATGTTCCATGTCTTCTCTAGTGATTAATCTTTCCTGGTTAATGAGACTTTCTAACAGCAGTCTTCCTTCTGGACATAGAACTTCCCTTAGTCAGATAAGGAAACTTCACAGAAAGGTCTTTCCTGTGGTTTGGGAGAGACAGAGGGATGGGGTGATGGAGACGGTCAGAGAGACCTTGGTTTTGAGACTGATCCTTTTTTTTTTTTTTTAAGTTTATTTTACTGACAGAGTAAGAGAGAGGGACAGAGACATAGGCACCTTTGACAGGATCCCACCACTCCAGGACCCCTCACCAACCTCCAGCTAGCCAGGACCATGGGCATGCACCTATTCCAGTATGTTTCAGGTCTACTGGGATCCAAACTCTGGCCTTCTATGTGGGTCCAGTACTGCAGAGTGAAGCCCCCAGCGGCACCACTGTGACTGGGCCTGAAGCTGATTCTTCAGTTCAAGGCACTCAGCATGTCAAAGTGCCATATTTGGGGTTATCATATTAAGTGCCAGGTTCTGTTCAATATGCTACATGCATCATCCTATTTAACCCTTACAACAACGCTATGAGATACTATAGCTACCATCCCATTTCGTAAGAAAACTGAAACTTAAGGATGATAAACACAAAATGCACAAAGTAATATAGTGGCAGAATCGGGATTCAAAGACTACCTCTCAATCCTTCGATGGTTCAATGTATCAGAGATGGCTCCACAGTCTTCCAAAAATTCTTCCAGATATTTTTTTCTCTTTCTAGATATACAGAGAAGTGTGCACATTCTCTCTTTCTCCCTCTCTCATGTGTACAAGGTGAGTGAGAGAGAGAGAGAGAAAGTTTTCACATAAATTTCACATAAAATTTGCACAAATCACTCCCTTGATTCTTAAAGTTATTAGCTGCGGAACCAGGAGCAGTGCTGTCTAGTTTTGCCTTCCACTAGATTTTAAATTCTTTAGTTGCCTCTTGCTTCCGAATATCCCCTTTTCCTGCAATTAACTCAGTACTGAGCACTCAGCGGGTGCTTTATAAATATACATTGATGGACTGAAATAAGAAAGGATGTAAATGAAAAAGGCTAATTCGCAGATGGGGTTACCAACAGGCTGTCACAAAAGCTTCGGGGGGCTAGGAGACATGCCTGTTATCTTTCTCCTGGTCACTCACTTCTGGGTGATTTGGGGCAAGATACTGAGGTGGGGAGGTTAAGAACTGAACCTCCTGTTTCTGCAGCTGTGGAGGAAGTTTGGGCATATTCGTTATGGTCATCAACCCACCTCCTGGGGAATGAGATTCAGAGGAAAAGGAGCATCACATCCAGCAGTTGCTCAGAGCTTCCTGCAGAAGCTGGACCACACGTATACCAGTGGTAATTGCTGCAGGAGGAGGGGTGCAGGAACAGGAGAGCCAGCCCCTGTGCTCTCCCAGCAGGATGTGAAAAATTCAGCTGGGTTCTTTTTATAGTTTCAATCATCCCTGGTAATGAAGATTCTGCAATTAGAACTCAGCTGGCAGTTGTGCTGGGGATGTGTGTGGCAGAATAGGATCCTGGGTCTGCAGGAGGGCAGGCCTGTTTGTCAGGAAGACTTGAAGGCACCGCTGGGAACAAGTGATGTGAGGTAAGGACGAGAGCCTATTTTTACAGACCATTTTCTAGCCATAATCACTCCTTAAATAAGCGCTACTTGGGCATTACAACTTTAACATTTTATTAGTCTACATTCAGGTCTCAATTATCTATACAAATGGAGGGGAGTGTTAACACAGGTAATAGAAACAGTGACACCTCCTTCATTGAGGCCCACTCAAGTACGGAATTTAGGATCTTTTCACCTGCGTTTGAGTCCCATTTGTTTTGTATGAATTCTATGAAGATAGCACTTGTTGAAAAAAATATTCAAGAGAGATTAGCCCTACTTAAGGTAAACTGCTTTCAAATACTTAGGCAGCATAAGAAGTACTTTTATTGAGCACTAACTATGCTAAAGACATCATGCTTTTAAACACTTTTCACATATCATGTCCATAATCTGCTTAGTCACCTTACTAGATAGGCACTATTATGGGCCCCATTTTACTACTAAGCAAGTGGCCTTCTTATCTGAGGTCACATGATAGTATGTGGCAGAACCTGGCTCTAAACCCAGCCAAACCTGACTCCTTCACTTTTGCTCTCAAGCATGATGCAATAAACTGGTTACCTGTCAGGCTAATCTAGTCACGAAACAACTCTGGTCACCTCCGCATGGCATCACTATTAACAACTGGAAGTATAATCACTGATTTTTGAAAATCTTTGCAGTAAAGGATGAGGGGGAAGCATCCGTTTCTTGCTCAATTATGAAATGTCCTTCTCATTCCTTTCTTTTATATGTACCTCCTGAGTCCTTCTCCATTGAATTTAAATCACTCACTAAAACTCCTACACTATGACAACCAGTCTACTTCCCTAAATTGTATTATAAAAACAGAAAACATCTGCTCAAATTGATGTTCCTATCCTGGCAAACTTATCTCATGAGCCACAAGCTCCAGTGTGCCATTAGAGTCTGATGTCTGAATCATGGGCCAGATGGGTACTCTTATTCCTTTTTGGATTTATAAACCCTGGGATCATATGCAGCATACACGTTGCCAGGTGTAAGACAGTAGAGATTCCATGAAAATAAGAACAGAAAAAGAAAGAAAATGTATTATTTCTTAACACTCCCATAGTTATAGAAAACAACCGTCTACTTTATACTTTTCATAAGGAGGGTCATATGGAAAGGCCCATTCATGAATGTGTGACATAGATTCTGTCATGAGAAGCAGTATTGCTCTATGGCTATATATATTACTCTGATAAAATGTGCCAATATTCTAAATCAGGCATAAATATCAAAAGATGAGCACACATGCACACACACAGTTAGTATTTATAATTAATGTATTATAAAATCTTTTCTCTTATTACCCTAAGCCTCTAAATCAACTGTTATTATGTAAACTTCATTTATGCTTGTAGTTTTGATAATAAAACAAGCCTTAATTAGTAGTATTTAGTGCCAAAATCCTAAAAATTAATAAACTGGTGCTATTTCAATCTGAAAATTAGATTGGAGGAGGTGTATTGAAATTGAGTTGGACAGGTCAGTCATTGGTATGGTGGTTAGAGTGGTTGGATTCCACATGGCTGACAGTGTGGTTCAAGTCTCAGACTCAGTAGCTTGAAAAACACACTGTGTGTGTGTTTGTGTGTGTGTGTGTGTGTGTGTGTATGTGTGTGTGCTTGTCAAAAATCCTGAGAGAATAGAGGAGAGGGAATTATAACATGCTCATCCCCCCCAGGGGGGTGCTTTCTTATTATTCTTGTCCCTGGTCTCTCTCTGGCAAGTACACATGCCCTGTGGCAAAATTTTTTAAAGAATTATTTAATTTAACTTATTATAATGAATGTTTTTAAAATTTTGCTGTAGGACACATGTACTCACCAGAGAGAGAGAGAGAGACAGAGAGAGGAAGAGAGAGAGAGAGGGAAAATTAGAAAGCAAGCCTCCAGGTCCAAGACTTGAACCATGGTGAGCCTTGTGGGAATCCAGCACCTTAATACCACATCACCTGCTGGCCCCTCAATTTTTTAAACATAAAAAAAAAACTGACTTAGAGATTCAAATGGATACTAAAATAAAAGGAGTTGGATGTTTTATAAAATAAATGTTACTAATACCCACTCCCACACATACAAACACACAGATTTTTATTAAAGATAAGAAAAAAGTTTGAAAACAGCTTACTTTGACCTTAGGTTGAACATTCAGTTTTGCAAAAGGGCTGCTACATTAAAATAGAAAGAGAAACCTAAGTTTGATTTCAAATACAGTGACCTCAGTCACTCTATATAGATTATCCAAGCAAAGTTAATTTCTCATTGATTTTAATCTGGTAGATCATCTATAACTTCCTTCAGTCTTATTACAGTCAGGAGAAATGAAACAGGAAATACAAGTTAATTTTAATTCAAATATATCAAAGATGGGAAAAAAGTTCAAATGAATCACCAATTATATTCTGAGGGCAACGATCCAAAGCTCTTAATGTTGCGACCCTCTGCTGTTTTAGATGATGTGTGCTAATGCTTGCTGCCATTTGCGTGCATAATCAAGAGCTGCCTGTCCATACAGTAAGCCTGATAAATGTTGCCATGCCCACATGCAGAAGGTGAGGCAACATGAATATACCTGCCTGACTTCACTTCAGCTAAGGTAGGAGTGCCTAATTCAGGTCTGGGCTGGGGAAGGCAGTGGCTGGGCTGCAGTTTGACTGAGTCCTGGGCTGAGTAGGGAGGTGGATGTGAGGCCTGGTCTGAAGTAGTAAGTGGAAGGTGGCAAGTTAAAGAGCAAGAACCAAATCAAATGGTGGTGGAAATGAAGAATGGCCACTAGTAAAGGTAAAATGAATCACTTAGCCAGGCTGCCACCAGCCCATGTGGTAGCATTTTGGAAATTAGGAAAACCTGTGCCTGATGTTGAGTATGGCCCAGTGGCATGGTTTGTTGCCAGGCAAGCATGACTCAGACTGGACTTCACTTCCCATTTGTCCCCTGGGCTGGGTGCTTGTGTTTGGATGCAGCCTGTGAAATCATAGGTTGCTCTGGAGTCAAGAAGAGCCTGGAAAGATCCTCTGTGGTCACAGAGGTTGGAAAAAATGTTAGAAGATCCTGAGATGGATACTGAACTTGAGCTGTGAAATATGTCTTTCCTTGATTAAAGTTGAAGATTTTCTGCTGAGACTTCTCCCTCCAGATTCATTTCTAATGGGTAGGGCTACCTCTGTCTCCTTCTCTCCTTCTCTCCATTTCTCTCTGTCTCTCTGTGTCTTTTAATTAAAAAAAAAAAATTGTTTAAGGTAAAGTATTCTCTGAGCTCTCAAGCCCTCCTTTATTGTGCTAATTGGTGCCTTTCCCCATTCTATTTAGGAAAGGCACACCCCCAGGCCCATCCTGAGATGTATACTGAACTTGAGCTGTGAAATATTGTGTGAGTGCCATGTGGTTTTCATTTTTTGCTTTTTAAAATTAAAATAGAAAGTTTTTTTATGATCTTTTTTCTTTCTCCTTTTTTATTTTATTTTTTTCTTCTTCTTTCCTCTTCTCTAATTCTTTTCCTTTTTTCTTTATCTTTGTTCATTGGCTGCTCAGTCTCTACGCACTAAGTGTCTAGAAAGGTCCAAGTTAACAGGATCCAAACATTTGAATACAATTAGGATCAGAATATTCCTCTGTTCTTACTGAATCTGAAGCACCAAGAGTGAAAATGGGACAGAAGAGAGATTGCAGATCACCTCCTTCTGCACGCCTCTGAATGCTCAGATTGAACTTTAAGAATTAGGAAGAGGGGCCAGCAGGTGGCGTAATGGTTAAGGGAGCTGGCTGGACTCCCACATGGCTGACCTGATGGTTTACTTTCTTACCTTCCCTCTCCTTCTCTCTCTCACTCTCTCCCCTTCTCTGGTGAAATGAAAAAAATAAATAAATAAAGTTAAATAAAATAATTAAAGAAAAAAAGAATTAGGAAGAAACGCACCATCAGATAACTAGAAATCACTGCAGGATCACAAGAAATATGGGAAAGCAAGAAAATACCTTTCCTCCAAGGGAAAAGAATAACTCCTCTTCATCCTCAGACAGTACAATGAAACTCATGGAAATGTCAGATAAGGAATTTAGAATAGTCATAGTGACAAAGCTAACAGAGATGGAAGAGAAGAGAGACAATGAACTGCAGAAGAGACAGGAGAAAGGAGCTGATGAGTTCCAGGAGGTGAGGAAATTCTTGCAAGATGTAAAAGAGGAAATATACACTCTAAAAAAAGAATCAAATAGACCTGTTAGTGATGAAGGCTATAATACAGGAAGTCAAAATCTCCCTTGAAAGTATCATATAGACAAGATCATACAGAAAATCAAATCTCAGATGTAGTAGATAGAATCATTGGCCTAAGAAAAATCCATCACAAAGACTGAGAAAATTGCCCCCCAAAATGAAAATAATATACAAGAAATACTCGATATCATCAAATTTCCAAACATCTGGATAATTGGTATCCCAGAAGACAAAGAGACTCATAGGGCATTGATAATCTATTCCATGAAATCCTGCAAGAAAACTTTCCAAACCTAGAAAGGCAGTCAAAGATCCAGTCCCAAGAAATACAAAGGACCTCAACTAGAATCAACCCAAGAAGATCTTCTCCAGGACATGTTATAGCCAGATTGACCAAAAACCACAGACAAAGACAAGATACTAAGACTGGCAAAAGAGAAATGACAAGTTACCTACAAAGTATATCCCATCAGGCTAACAGCAGACCTCTCATTGGAAACAATGCAAGTGAGGAAAAAATGGGAAATATATTTAATGTGTTAAGGGAAAAGCAATTTCAACCAAGAATATTGCATCCGGCAAGATTATCTTTCATATGGGAAGAGAAGACAAGAATATTCTCAGATAAACAAAACCTGAAAGAATTCACCAACACCAGACTAGATCTCCAAGAAGTTCTCAAGAGAGTGTTAGACCAGGAAAATTAAATATAGTCACACAGAAATAAGAGTTCAAAAACTAAGAAAATGGCCAACTTAATGGTAGGGACAGGTCTGGAGTTGAATATTATATCCCAGAATTTAATCTAGAAGACTAAATCACAACAGAAAATAGATTAAGTACATGAGACTGAACTGGTGAAATAGAATTTTATGACTTTTGACTAAAACATTGCTGATTTTCTTCTAGGTTTTGTTTTCAGTTTTAAGGACTTTTGTCCTATCTTGAGTTGCTGATAGGTTCATGTACCTACTATTTGAACAGAATCTTAACCTGTTGCCTGGCTTTAAGTTTTAAGCAAAGTTTCTTAGCATTTCTTTGATTTATTAAAGCTGAAACTGCTTTTCTTAAAATTAAAGAATATATTAAAAATACCTATTTAATGACTGTAGTAAGCTATATAGCATCAGCTAGTTGCTACTTTACAGTGTATTCATTCTACTCAGAGTTTCATGTCTAAAGTCAGACATGTATTCACATATGTATGTACCAGCTGAACTTGCTATTGAAAGTAGATAATTTAAGAAATTTTGTGAATCAATACAATGTGGGGAAAAAAAGGAATGGAAAACAACTGTAGACACCTGAGATAGTGTGAGAGGAAGATAGGAAATGGCAGAGAGTAAGAAGTAGGGGGGAAATAAACACACACACATATATATTTCCCCCCTACTTCTTATCCTCTGCATACATATAGCAATGAAAAATGGAAATAGGAAATGATTGACAATAACATGTATAATTAAGCCACTATGCAGTATATTCTGGATGGGCAATCACACATTTTGTATGCTGTGATGATGTTCAGGGAATGAATGTCAATTAATTAATTAAAAATTAAAGAATAAAAAAATAAGATTGAGAATAACATATATTGAGCCAACCACTGGAGTGGTGAGTAAGGCAGCTGACCAACCTCACAGCTAAAGTCCCAAACCTTGCAGTTTGAGATACTCATTATGCATGTGTGCATGCATTCCCCAAATCCCAAAAGGATGAAAAAATGGAAATGGGATTGTAACATAGCCATCTTCCATGGAGCGGTGCTTTCTCACTTTCCCTCTCTTTATTTCTGTCTTTCTCTGATGAGTGCACATGCCCTCTGGCAAATTAAAAACAAAACAATTATATATAATACTTAGCACCAAAAATATATATGAAAAGAAATAAGCATAAAAAGCTCTATCTCCCTAGAGCAACCACTTTTGATTCTCTCTTAAATATTCTAGAAAAAAAATTGTCTAGCATAAAATGTATATACATAATATTTATATGATAGCAAATGTGCATTCACACATATATATATATATTTATATTCACAAATCATTTGTATTTACCCAGTGTTCCTATATATCATAGGAACACTTTCTGAACCTTGCTGTTTTTCACTTAATGTATTTCGAAGTAATTTTATATCAGTGTGTGATAACCCTTTTTTTTTTAACTGGATATAGGGTGTTCCATGATATGGATGTACTCTATTTAGCCATTCTTTTTCCTACTTAGCTTCTTTCTAATCTCATACTATCTTGATACCTGAGTAAATGTCTTTTGTATCTCTCTATTGGTACATTGTTTGGGTGTAGAGACTGAAATGGAATTCACAGTGCTATGTCTATCCAATTCAGGTTACTAGGAGCTAAAGCCAGGTGGGGAAACTTGGAGTGACAAGTCTCTTGTCTTTAGCAAACGTGGTTTCCTGACAGTGGCTGATACTGAAAGGGCTCTGAGGTTAGAATGACAAGGGCAGTACAATGGGAAATGCACATCTTGCTTCTGATGTATTTGACAAATTCCCACTCCCTTTCCAAAGAGAACCATGAAGTGACACATGAACTCACCCCTGAAGTCCCTACTCTGATCCCCCTAGCCAGCAGCTGGAGAAAGGCCTTCCTCTGCTTTTCACCAAGAAGTGGGTGACCAAGCACATAAAATCTCAGAACAGCACTCTGAGGATTACAGACCTTGAGTGGCAGGTGTGGATCCAGTTCTACTTGGTGAACTTATTCCCAGTGGAATGAGCCTTTTGAGAATTCCTGTGACAGTGGTTACCATCCATTTCAGAGCTTCTGTGCTTTACTTATACTTCCTCTGGAAGCGGCTCAGTGGGCTGAGTTATGCTGAGTTATGTGTGGCTCTGCTTCCGCATTTCCTAAAATGAGAAACGGAGGAAGAAGTCATGGTAATGACCTTCCTCCTTCCTGAAGGTTCAATCAAATGATAGGAAAGCAATCTGCATAGTAATTATAAACCCTCCAAGTGAATCCCTGTGCCCCAGCTGAGAAGAGCATGACAGTCATATCTATAATGAAATTCAGACCATCCGCTTCTAAAGCACAAGGAAGTTAATTCAGTCACAATCATAAGTGGGATAATATAGTGGTCATTGGGACAGCTCACATTGTTCTTCTCAATAGTGGAGGGCAGCAGGAAAGAAGCTGTCACTTGGTCAAGGCTTGTGCTGACAGAAAGTTTAATCTGGTGCTTCTTGGTACGTACTTTAATATAATGGCCAGATCTTTACCCTAAACCCTGTCAAAGGAGTCCAAAACTAATGGATTCTAGGGGTGCCAATGGGTCATACTCTAGGGGACTTAGAAGTGTTGGGGAGAGAAACACTCCTCCCTAACCTTTGTAGTGTCCACCCACACACTCCACTGGTACGTCTGCAGCCAGAGTGTAATGCAGAGGGGGATTTATTCACATGATCTAATGTGGCATTCTTCACACTCTTATTCATTGCTCCAATGAAATGATGCAAGGTGTTTACTTTCTGAGTTTAAATACTATGGAAATTTTAAAGGTGAAACAATTATGCCACCCTCGGGGCTCTAAAGGTAAGCAAAGAATTACAATCTAGGCCAGCCCCATAACCTAGTGGTTAAGGGAGTTGGATCCCATGTGGCCAACTGCAGTTTGAATCTTGGCTCTAGGTGGATTGAAAAACACATGGGGGAACAAGCAGATGGTGCAATGGTTATGTCACTATACTCCCATGTAGTCGACCACGATTCAAGTCGCGGGCCCGGTGGCTTAATACTCAAGACGGGCGCATGTGCATGTGTGCCCAAGATCCCAAAAGAAGAATTGAGAAGGGATTGTGGCGTGGCCATCCCCCCTGGGGTGTGATTTCTGACTCTCTGTCTCTCTCTGTCTCTCTGGTGAGTGCACGCGCCTATAGTAAAACTCTCTCAAAAAAAGAAAGAAAAGAAAAACACATGGGATACATGTGTGTACATGCCCAAAATCTTCATGGGAAGGAGAAATGGAGAAGGGATTGTGGCATGATCATGTTCCATTGAGAGATGCTTTCTCCCTTTCTCTGTCTCTCTCTGATGAACACATGTATGCTCTAGCAATTAAAATAAATTTTAAAAACAAAAAAACAAAAGAACTACAGCCTGGCTTCTACTATCTGCCAGCACTGAGCCAGAATCCTGTCTCTGGGTTCTTGCCCTATGCCCTTCTTGCCTCTGCATGCTGATCTGTCTCCAGTTCTGCCTAAGGACAGCAAATAGATGAGCTCCTGGCCATTAGATTTGCACATTGTACAGCTAGGCTGTTCAAAAAAGAAGCAATTTTATTCTTTTTCTGTTCACTCTCAACAAGTGTTCCAGCTACAGCAAGATTTCAAAGAATGGCTTCTTCCCAGAGCCCCAGTACAACTATTTATTGAGCTTGAGGGTCTGTTTGGTCCTCCTGCAGGACCTTGTGATGGGCAGTGCCATATGTAAGGTGAGTATGTATGGAAGAGCTGAATGAGGAGGCATTTAACTACAGTGACTTCAAATGAGCTAGACATTTACACCATAAGACACTACTGCTGGAGACCAGCAGGTGGCATTAAGGTGCTGGATGCTCCCACATGGCTAACCCTGGTTCAAGTCCTAGACCTGATGGCTTACTTTCTCACTTTCTCTCTCTCTCTGTCTCTCATTGGTCAAATTAAAATAGATGAATGAATAAATAAAATTAAATAAATAATTTTTTTAGTAAAAGATACTGCTGCTGGATGGCATGTACTTCAATACTAGATTTCACCCTGTATTCTTTATCTTGCATGTGTGTGTACATATATGTGTATGAGTGTGAGTGTGAGTCAGCATCCCCATACCGCTCTCCTTTCCAGAGAGTTTGTGCTATGGTTTGAATGTATCCTCCCCAAATTCATATTTTTGAAATTTAACTGCCTTTAAGCAGGATTAAGAGGTTGGATGCTTAATCCTACTGTGGTGTTAAAAGGAGGGTCTTGGGGGACCAGCAGATGGTTACACCTCTGGACTTCCATGTAGTCGACCACAGTTTGAGTCCAGGACCTGGCAGCTTAAAATTCATGCCAGGCATACGTGTATGCGTGCTAAGAGAATGGAGAAGGGATTGCCACGTGGCCATCTCCTTGGGGAGCTATTTCTCACTTTCTGTCTCTGTCTCTCTCTGTCTTTCTGGCGAGCGCACGTGCCCTATAGCAAAAACCTCTCAAAAAACATAACAAAACAAAACAAAAACAAAGATCTAACTTGTGTGTCATTTTCCTATCAGTAACTCCCATCTCCTCCTTTAAGGTAGCCAATACATTGACACCACATACCACAAATTAGTTTTGTATATTTTTAAACATTATAAAAATGGCTAATAGAATATATGCTCTTTTGTGTCTGGCTTCTTTTGCTTCACATGTTTGTGAGATTCAGTCACGTAATGACACCAGCTACAGTTCACTCATTTTTATTCTGGTATAGTAGTATGTTCTGTGCATATACCATAATTTATTTCTTCATTCTATAACTGATGGAACGTTGGGCTGTTACTAGTTTGGAAATGTCACTGGTGCTATTCTAAGCCTACATTTTGATTCATATACCTCTACAAACTTCTGTCTTTGGGTCTGTCATTTTTTGATGCTTTAATTAATGACTTGCCATATCCATGAATAAGACACACACACGCACATTAGACAGAGAAGTAAAAATTCAAAAAAACTCTTAGTATGTTGTAATAATTGGCCAAAAACTTAAATGAAGTTAAATTGAACAGAAATAGGGGCCAGGTGGTGCAGTGGTAAAGCAGCTGGACCTACATGAGAAGGTCATGAGTTCATGTCCTGAGGCCCTCCTGTATGTGCAGGCACATGTGCCTGGACCTGTGATATGGGCTGGCTGAGGCTGAGGGTGGATCACAGTGTAAAGATTCTGTTGGGAGTGCCTCTCTCTCTCTCTGTCCTCTCTCTCATGGATAAAATAAGTAGATCAGCAGAAAAGAAAAAGAATTAAACAAAGATAAATGAAAAATGTCACATTTTGCTTTAACAAATGTATTATGTATATAAGATTTATCAGTTAAGACTGGAAAAGTCTAAATATTCAATAATATGAGAGTGGTTAAGTAAATTATTATTTATCTTCTCAATGGAATACTAAGTAGTATCCTAAAATGAGAATTTTGAAAGTTCAAAATTTTGAAAAATAATTTTGATACATTCATTACATAAAAAACAGTAAATGGGGCTGGCTCTATGGCCTGGTACTTAAGGCAGCAGATCCCCTCATGGACAATCACATGGTTCAACTCCCAGACCTGGCAGCTTAAAAAATACACCAGGCACATATGCATGCATGCCCCTAAACCTGAAAGGCAGGAAAGATGGAGGAGAAGGAATTGCACTGTGACCATTCCCTATGAGGGGTGCTTTCTACTCTCCTCTCTATCTTTCTCTGGAGAGCACATACACCCTCTAGCAAAAAATAAAAAGAATGTGCTATGTTTAGAACTTAATCATATGTGTATATGGCAAAATTAAAGAAAGAAAGGAAGAAAGGGGCTACAACAGTGAAATTAGAAATTAAATTTACTGGGCCCAGCAGGTTGCGTGGTGGTTCCGATGCTGGACTATCACATGGCCGACTGTGATTTGAGTCTCTGACCTGGTGGCTTGCCTTCTCACCTTCCCCCTCTTTCTCTCTTTGTCTCTGTCAAATTGAATAATAATAATAAATTAAATTAAATAATTCTTTTTAAAAAGAAATGAAATTTACTTTCAAATTTACCTTTAATATTTTTAAGATCTTATTTCAATGAAAACTAAAAATAGAGATGTTTAAAACTACTGGACATTGTGTAGCATGTTCTGGACATATATAGGTAGACGGAGAGAAGTAGGGGTGGGAAAATTGTGCACCTAACCTTTCTAAATCCACTTGGAGATAACAATGTGCCAATCTCACAGATTGTTATGAAATTTAGAAGTTGCAAGACCAATAAACATTAGAAAACCTCTGTGTGCTGGCTCTAGGGAGGGTGTGAAGGGCAGTATGCCTATGACATAGGAAGGGTTTATAAACTAACTAGCATGGGGAAACAAGGGCAGCATGTTTATGATATAAACTCTGCTGAACAATGCCAAATAAACCGACCTATAAAACTGCTCCATAGCATGAAAGTTGTGAGAAAGACAGGAAGGTGCAAAATGGTAGCATCATATGGGTGTGGAGGTGATGACACAGGG